GAAGCCAGAATTGGGAAAAAGTGAGGACGAGAAGCAAAAGGAGCTGCAGGAAGAATCATGGGAGCAAGTGCAAGGGCGATCGTCTTCTGGGAAAAGATGTTCACGTCCGCATGTGTGTCAGAATTACAACTGGAATGACTGACAAGTGGAGTTGGAAGACGGCAGGGAGTTCATTGCGCCTGTATGAAATTCACACCTGCTCAAGATGCTAATTTTGATGATCTAATTTAACGTAAAAAAACTTCATACCTTTCAGGCTTTTGAAAAATGTAATGTAACTTTCTCTCCTTTGTTGTATGACAGTATTAAATTAAGAGCACTTCTGTCTATGAGTTGCTTTAACATCATGCTACGTGCTCCATATACATGAACTCTCCCAATATTATTATTATCTTTATTTTACATATAGACAGAGTTTAACTTGCTCAGGTGGGGTATGATCTTTGACCTAGTGCATGGAGTATTTTAGGCATCTTAGGAAAGGGCCATTTTTTTGTACCATTAAGGAAAGAAGAGATCCAAGCACAAATACAATGTACAGGGGATCAAGAACACACTGGGATAGCTTTGAAGGAGATATAAAACATCTTCTGTAGGTCACTGAACAAGATAAATTTATTCTCAGATTGGAAGACCTACCAAATTCTCTTCCAATCCAGGATTCTAAGAGTCTATTTGTGCGATGGCATGATTTCCTTACAGAAGCCAATATTTTAAAATGAGAAAAAAAGTGTTAGGTTTCCACTGGGAGCTATCTCAGAGATGAGCAGGAGGAGACAGGAAACCTGTCCCTCTACTTGGAGTTCTCCTCATGACCTCTCAGCCCCGTGATCTCTTCCTGTGGGCTCCTCACCACTGTCTGTGCCTTTGTTTCTGCTATGCCAACATGTGAAATGCGGGAATCGCGGGATATTCCCAGCATATGGGATGGCCTGCTGCCCTCCTCCATTTCAATGCAAATCCTACACTAACCGTTAAGAAATCCACATCTCACATAAGACCTTCCCAACAAACCCCAACCCGTAATGATCTTACCTGTTCTTTGCAATCTTACATCCCTTCTACTCTTTGACCCTATTACCTAGCACTTAGATGTAGTTTTATATACTTTCCTAGTTGCTTTATGAAAAGTGCTTTCCCAGAAAGTTTATGAGTTTCTTTTTCTACTTCAAAAATGTGGCACAGAGTAGGTCCTTGTCGTGAACAGGCAACCACTGGCGAGGTCATTGCCATCACAACCTCATTACCTAGAGATGACTCAATGGAGGATGATCTGGAGTTGCTGGTATCAGTAGACATAGAGAGTAACAATGATAACAATGATAGCAAGCCTAACTTAATTTATGATCTATTTCTAAAGTAAGAGAGCCATGGTCCCAAGAGTTTCCAATGAGAAAGAGGGGGTAGAAGGAAACTGAAGTGATGACACAATGTCGCACCATGTGGTCCTGTTGGCACAAGAGGTTGACACTCCTGTGTTCCTGGAGTCCAGGGCCACCCTTCTCTGCTGCTCTGGTCTGAATGAATGCCCCTGCCTGCTGTGGCTGTGCCCTTTGACTAGTTCCAGCTCGCCCTGAAGGAACTGTGACATTTTAGTGGTGGGTGAGGCTACTCCTCTGTAAAAAGTGTATCTGTTGGGAATGCAGTTTTTGGAAGAAAGACACTATTTAAAAAGAAGAACACTATTCCTTTGACAGAATAGGGCAAATGAGTTAGAAACAGCAAACCAGGTCCAAGCTGGTATCAAGCCCAAGCAGCCCCACATTTCAAGCTGGTCTCCGTATTTTGCCATCACCAATCAATCCTACCGTTTTGATAAGAATACCAACTGGCTGTAACACAGTCAAGAAACGCTTTCTTTGGAATATGGAAAAGGAAGTATGATAAGCAGCAGGTTGATTGGAGAAGAGATTCTTTTAAAATGTCTTCTGGAACAACACATTCTAGATGGAAAACTTTCGGTGTCAAATTGTAGGTAAGCATGAAGAGTGTTTTAGTAATGAGCCAACATTTAATGCAGTACAGCTAACAACTTGGCTTCGAGTCTAATAGATACACTCCAGTAGTTATCTACCCAGAACATAAAGAGAGAGGCCCTGCCATAGTGAATTCAGGGGCCTAAAATATACTAGAGACAGGGAAAATAAATGACCATTGGAACCATTAGGGTTTATTAAACTAGAAATTACTCCAAACTGGGCAGTTTTCCAAGGAAGAGACACAGAGGAGAGACTTGCAGGCGTTTCCAGTAGTTTGCACTTGCCCCCGAGGCTGCCAGCATCAGGCCGGTTTCCAGGGGAAAGTTCACACGGCCACCGTTTTGTTTGGGTTTGCCTTGCTATAAACTGCATAAACTTCTGAAATAACCTGATTTCTTTCAGATCACCTCATTTTGCTTCTCTTAAAATAAGATGTTTTGGGTGGCTACGCAGTCAAGGTGAAATCTTTCAATCCATCCTCTCTTTGCCCTTATAGAGTTTAGCTGCATAACCACGTTAACGTGGAAAATGCATTGCATTGAAAGAGAACAGGCAGTTTTCTTTTTATTTTGACCATTGAAAATAAGAAACTTAATAATTATTGAGAATGAGCATAGTCTTTTTAAGGGAGCTTTTACTGCTCTGAAAACAAACACACAAAACCCCCCTTTCTTCTGCTTTAGGAGCCATGTACTTAAGGCCATAGTCTCTGTGCAGGATAGCTAACGTCCCCCCATCCTGCCCCCTGCCCCAAGAGTTAAAAGCTTAGAACAAGAGAGATTAAATAGTTGCTTTAGGAAGTTTAGGCCTTATGCCATCTGCTCTCTTCACCTATTCCTTTAATTTCTGTCAGGAATGAAACCCGTTCAGCCAGGGGGCGGGTTTCCAAACTCAAACAACAACATGGTCAGAGGGCAGAGCTGGTGAGGGGGAGAGAGGCCTGTCGGCCAGCAGAGCCCCCAGGACTTGCTCTCGTAGGTCATCTGCTGGGCCTGAGTAAACCCCGTGTATTTCTGTGATGTGGCAAGTGTCGGGGGACACGTGTGGCACCTAAACGATTGCTTTTCCAAGGCACAGTGAGAAAGAGCTGTGCTCGACAGTGCGTGTAAAGGGCCAGCGACCTGAGGAATGGAATGGAAAAGGTTTCTGAAGGGGACTTAGAAAACGCTCATCAGGAAGTGTGGTAAAAGAGAAATAAAGACAGAATGACTGTCCCAGAAAAGCAATTCCAACACTGTAATGTCTAATTAATTTTGGGAACTTCTCATTTAAACGTAAGAGCATAAGTCACCCGGGCTGCTGTGGCTTGGTTGGGCATGGTTCTGGGCACCAGAAAGGTCGCTGGCTCGATTCCAAGTCAGGGCACCTCCCTGGGTTGTGGGTTTGATCCCCAGTAGAGGTTGTGCAGGAGGCAGCCAATCCATGTTCCTCTCTCTCTCCCTCCCCCTATCTCTAAAATCAATGAAAACATATTTAAAGAAATTTCAAGAGCATAAGCTAATGTTGACTCTTACTAGGAGAACTCAATGTTTCACCTCATGGTGATTTGTAAGAACTCTGCAGAGAGGGTAACATGCACAGGAAAAGTCAAGTGAAATTACAGGTCGAGAGATTCAGCATTTGCCTGGATCATAAAACCCTGCTCCTAGAGACCAGCGAACCTGTTGCCATGGTGAGGAAATTATTCTGGCCTATTCCAATCGGGATCTCACAGGGCTTGAGCTCTGTGGGGAAGAATTACATCCTCCCAGCTCTCTAAGAAAACATATTTTATTTTTCAAAAGACAAATGCCAGAGATAAGAAAAAGAATACCCGTGAGGGGAGAGGGGGAAGGCTTAGCTAGCTGGGTCATCTCATCTACTCAGTCCTGGAGCTGGGAGACAAGTTTTCCTCATGACCAAACCTTTCTAGGCGCTGGGGAAAAATTATGACAGTTTTCCCCATCCTTTGGAATTCCAACCCAAAGGCTATAAATTAAAACTGCAGACATCAGCCTCTGGTGAGAACAAATGGGGTTGAGCAGCGTCCAGCTTGCACCCCGAAAGCTGGCCTGCGTCTGAGCTGGTGGAAGTTTGGGTTTGATCAGCAGGAGCCTTTCTGGTGTGGAATCTAAGGAGGCGGAATCTTCCTGATAGTATTTTATACGCCAAAGGGGAAAAATACAATATTCTTTTGAGTTTTCTTTTCTGCTGTTCTTGAGTTAGCCTACATTTATCAGCTTGGCCATTCAATGGTGCTTCTAAATACTCTGAATTTAATTTGATTATGAATGAATTTTTGTTTGTTTACTTACTTTTAAAATATATTTTTATTGATTTAAGAGAGGAAGGGAGAGGGAGAGAAAGACAGAGACATCAATGATAAGAGAGAATCATCGATTGGCTTCCTTCCGCATGCCGCCCCACTGGGGATCAAGCCCACAGCCCGGGCATGTACCCTTGATCGAATTGAACCTTGGACCTTTCAGTCCACAGGCTGATGCTCTATCCACTAAGCAAAACCAGCCAGGGCAAGTTTTTTTTTTTTTTTAATTAATAAGAAAGCTGCCCTTTTATACATATTATCAAGGATGGAAAGCCAGGTTCTGAGGGCAGTGGTTATTTTCAAATTGTATTAACAAGTCTGATGGGGTCCTGAACAAACAGAAAGGAAAAAAAAGGTTTGTGAGAGATTGATTTATTTTTCTACAACAACTGGCCCCCAAAATGTGACAAGTTTTTCTATTCATATTTTATATTACACCATCTACTATACCCACTGGTTAGATTTGAACTGTGCTTTCCCCTCCCCCCGCCTCCCCAACTCCAAATTCATATGTTGAAATCATGACCCTTACCTAGTCCCTCAGAATGTGATATTATTTGAAAATAGGGTTGTTGCAGGTGTAAGTAGTTACAAAGAGGTCCATAGAGGGCCCCTAATCCAGTATGATGGGTGTCCTTATAAAAAAGGGAAGATTTGGACACAGTCACGTTCACAGGGAGAGGGCTCTGGGAAAATTATCCCAAAGAGGTTCTTACCGTCAGATCTTGGGGAACAGAATTTGGCTTCTGTATGTTGATCTCAATGCTATTGCTGCCTTGTTTCAGCTCCACTGGGCACCCGTGCACTCTGGCCACACCTTCGAACATCTGGGATTTGGTTAATGAGGGGACGAGTGTGTCCGTGGGACACTCGTTTTCCTTCTCCATCTCATCACGGTGAACTGTTTCTCCATTCATGCTGACTTTCCCATCTACCTATAAAAACCAGAATGAACAAAAACATGCTATTCCCCCAAAGAAAGAGTAACAAAATAACACATTCAGAATCACCTGACAACATTACCATTGTTAATCATAGTCCACCAAAGAATAACATCTCTTATATGCTTTGATTGGCTCTGGCAATCAGGGCTTTTATAAATGTTATCTTAGAGGGGTTCTTTAAAAGGTAATTCACCTTCTCAGGCCACTTCACATTAAATTATATTTCAGATTCACCTAACTTAGGGTGTGCTTTTATTTTGAAGTAAAGAAAATCACAGAAACTTTTGTGTAAACTAGAGGCCTGATGCACGAAATTCATGCTAGGGGCTCGGCCCTCACAACCCTGGCTGCCTCCTGGTCCAGAGGTCCTGAGGCCCTGCCTACTGGTCATTTGGGAAGGTCGTTCCACTATCTGGTCTAATTAGCATATTAGCTTTTTATTATATGGATAAATACATGCCACATATTTGGGTTCCAGTAATTTGTCATTTAAGTTCTGTTATTCCACAATTTTGAGGGTTTTCTTTACTGGTTAGCATATAAATTAGGTAGAACCCACCACAGATCAGGACTATTTTACAGGTTATCCCGGGGAGTAGGGGGAAACGGGCACTTTTTTTGACACAATCACGGGTGGCAGGGAACCTAATGCTTGCTATAGTACCGTAAATCTCTTCTTCCAGTTAATTTTATAATCCCATTTCTTTTTTCAAGAAAAACAGCCATGCACATTAAAATATTTTTGTTTTGCACCTGGGTGTAGGGCAGGCAGTGAGAGCAGGAAAGGAGGGGCAGAGAGGTGGTTAGTTGGGCTTGTTGAGAGGCATCTGGAAGTCTCCGACTTGAGGTTTGAGCCCGTATGTAAAATAACTGTTAGCGGACGCTCTGTAGTTCAAAGGCCTCAGATTACGTTCTGGTTTGATAACCTACCAGCCATGTAACCCTCAACCTCAACTCCTCAGCTGCAAAATTTGCAATAATAGTATCTCCTTGATGGTGCTATTATGGTGATTTTATGGATTAATCTATGTCCAGAGTTTAGAACCATACCTGCCCATTTTAAGTATGGAAATCTTAGTCATTATTATTAGTAGGCCTTCTAAAATCTTTCAGAAGGAACAATGAAAGGCCAGATGATAATTATACTTTATTTACCTAGGCCAATGGCTTGCATACTCTCTTGTCTATACTCCATAAGGACGAACTTTAAATCACAACTAAGCACACACAAATACAACTGAAACCAGAGTTCTGCAAAAACAATGTTTAGCTTTATTGTGTGTGATATACTAGGCAGTTTTTTAATTGTATTCTATTATACTTCATTTATTTTCAATGTTGATTCCAAACCAATAAAACAGAAATAGGTGGCAACTTTCAGGCTAAAAAACACTGCCCAGCCGACGTGGCTCAGTGGTTGAGCATTGACCTATGAACAGGTCATCGGTTTGATTCCCGGTGAGGGCACATGCCCAGGTTGCTGAATCGATCACCAGTGGGAGGTGTGCAGGAGGCAGCTGATTGATGTTTCTCCCTCTCTCCCTCTCTCTCTCTAAAATCAATTTTAAAAAAGAAAAGAAAAACACTGCCTTAAACTATTTCACTTAATCTTCTTTTACTCTTCATTCTGTTGTACTGGGAAACTGAGCCTG